CCGAGGCGGAGAGCGGGAGGCTTCAAGACATAGCCAGCAGTGCCAGCAAAAAGAGCGTCGTTGATCTGCATGCTCGCGCCAAATGTTTGCCAGTTGAGAGCGCAAATTTGGGCACCGACGGCCCAGAACGGCACCGGGGAAAGATTACGTGATGATATCCGGGTCCCTTTAGGATAAACACGCATGAGGTGACGTGCGTTGTGGCGTGCGATTTCCGGCGCGTGCTCCCGAGTGTGAGAAGCCAAACCCGACTCGGAAACGTTGATCAGATGATGCTCAGGAGGGCCATCCTTGACCTTCCCCTCCACGTACCAGGAGTCGTCGCGTGGTTTAACGGATTGTGCATAGACACCGAGCTCTGCCAATTCAGGAACGATGATGGGCGGTGGTGCAGTGTTCTTCTTTGTTTTATACTCCTTCCGTGCTTTCTTCTCCTCCTCTGAATCACTGGAGCTGGACGAGGAGGTGCTGGAATCGTCCACCTCATCCGGCAGGTGGTACTCGACAATGACGGCAATCTTGGAGCCCAGATCCTCGAGCCGCACTGGGTCGCCACCCTCTTGTTCTTCATGACCCTTTTGGCGAATTGGGGCACTCAGCAGCCGGTCTCCCCAGACTTCTTTCATGATTTCAACAAGGCGGAGCTGTCCGTTCCGGTCGCAGTGGTTTTCCAGTGAGACGAGGATTGGTGCCGGGGTATACCCCCGTCCCCGCGCGGCCGTTTCTTCGTGGTCAACCACATCACGTATTGTTTCGCACACTACTCGGAAAGGGATGTTGGATACGAGCGTGTAGCCATGCGTCACCTTCGGCTCCGTACAGTTATCGGGGTTATCCCTGGCACAATGTTAACAAATCATTATTCATTCCCGAGAACTCGGTGCCGGGTTACAGAAACCGTTGTCAGACTGGAGGGGGTTTAGGATTGGGATGTGCAAGTAGTCGAGATATACTTACCACGCGTCAATCTCGATACATCGCGCCCCGGCCTTGAGCGTGGTTTCATATGCGGCGGCTGAAGAAGCACCAAAAAGCTGATGGGACATCAAATATGTGTTGTGGCTAGAGCTGATAAAATACTCCGGCAGAGGATGCGACCTGTCCAAGAGGTAGGCAGGTGGTGTAACGACCGGTTTGTCAAGCAAGGCCTTCAGCAACGGCCCTTTGACGTCGTCGGAATCGCTGTTGCCCAATACCCCCTGGTGGAAGAGAAACGACTGGAGCGCAGTACTGACACACAGAGGATGATGCGTGGTGCCTGTTGATGCACCGAGACCACCACCGGCGAAGGTGGCGGCATCAATTTCCTCCCCGGCGTCATCCTCATCATCTTCCTGCCTTGCTCTAGTCTTGAAGGGGTTGAGTCTGGCCATACGAGAGGAGAGTCGCGAGGGAGTTGATTCAGACATGGCAAGAGGGCTTTGACTAATACTTCCGGCAGGACAATGTTACAATTTCCTTTGCAAATATTAGGTATTGAGAAACTTGTCGAACTGCGTGATTTATTGAGGGGTAAGCGATTCGCAGCGGGGTAGCTCGACATGTCGGTACTGACGGCAACCCTCATGCATGAAATGTCTTGGTATTTTTATTCTCGGTTCCTTCAGAAAAAAAAAGGAAGAGAAAGGAAAGATATAAAAAGTTTTTGCATTGCCTTAGCTGTCCAGCATCGTAGTTGGTGGTCACATCGGTACATGTACCTAACGTTGAAGAACCGACGAGAAACGATATTTTAAGGAAGTCTAGGGAAAGCATAAAATTAGGTAACTAGTAAAAGAAGGGGGAGAGTAGTAAACTATATAAGAGCTCATTGCGTCTAAAACCTATACGTCGATCACTTCTAGAAGCTATCCTCTACATAGTAGAGGTATACTTTGAGACAATCGCTGGATTTTTCTCTTGAATGCCACTCACTAATAGAGATAGGTAACTATGAGAAAAATCACTGATGCTCCTAGTCATTTGACATTGAAGTACCTAAGTCCCGGTACAGTAGGTACAGATCGCCAAGAAGAGCGCAAAATTGGTCGAGCGTAGCGATATAATCGTAGACGCGCTCTACGGGGGTTATCGAGTAAAAAGCTAGGTGATTGTGGCTTAGTGGGCTGAGACGGTACGTTGAGGGTTTGCGAGCTTGTTCTAGATTGTATAGGATTGAGAGGTAGTAGCTGAAAGTCGCAAGTAAGAGACTACGAGCGAGCCTGATGTACGAGAATACAAAGGCGTGCTGGTGAAAGTAGCTGCCTGGGGACGGCATAGAAAGTGGGTGGGTAAGGTGAGGAAGGACGGTTTGCGGCGCTTGCCGGTACAATAACTACGCAGGCGATGAGTTAGAAAAATAGAAGTCTTACTCTGATATAAGTATAGTTCAATACAAGTTGAGTTGGGCATACTTCAAGATGGTCCACCTACTATAGCTGAGCTCTTGCACCCCAGCATATTACAACCTCCAAGTGTATACTCATCTGCAGATCCCATATTCGCTTTCCTTTCTCAAAGTTCAAACCTTCCCAACTTCTCTCTTTGGACCCCAACTTACAGCCTTGAAGCCTCCCTTCTACAAGCGGATTTGAAGATACCAAGAGCCCTTCCACCTCCCCTGTCAGAGATGACTTGAAAGCGCAGATACAACGAACTCAACTTGGCGCGCCAAGAAGCCCAAACCGTTGAACAAGTATAGCAACATGGAATCAACATCCGGTTTCCCGTCGAACCTGCTTATATGACGGAAATAGGAGCCACGGCCAGGAACTCCGAAGTTTCAGGGGATTTTCCAATACACCAAGAAGATCTGGGATCGGGCCACACTCATCTATTTGTGCGCATCATTAAATCGAATGGGAAGCACCCCCAATCTTGGTGCTACCATCCCAGGGTCAGCTCCAGGTGTATTGGTCCCACGGTGTCTCGATGGCAGCGCGTCGCCATCACATCGGCAGATCAGGCGCATAGGTTGGGATGCAATGACAGCCAAAAGAAGAGGCCAAGAGCTGGATATTATACAACCATGCTGAGGCATTGGCCGCCGTTGCTGGCCCACGAATCGGAGGTGGCCCTTCCGTTTCAGGCAATCTCCGGGGTAAATTCGACGGTATTCTTGCGTCGCGTTTCACGGGAAACCGGGGCAGCCAGGCACCGAAGGTGGCCAATGGACAGTGGCGGAGACGGACCAAGGAAATGGCACCGGCCGGTAAACAAATCCGGGACCTGATAATCAACATCATGCCGAAGCACTGTCGGCATAGCAGGTTGCAACCCAGAATGGTAGCCAAGAACCCAGCCACGGGACCAACTGCCGGCACGCCGTCCGTAAAGACCTCGGGGCCGGCCAATGGGGCCCGCGAGGTCAGGCTCGGCAATACTGGAGCACCGGCAACATTGTCGTTCGGTGAGGGGCCGATAAATTGATTAAGCTCGGATTATATTACCCTCCCCCCCTCCTCGAAGGCAAGCCTCTTCTCCATGACGGCGACGGAACCTCTTGGGGACGACGTTGCAACTGCGGGGGGCCAGTCTCCGTCCTGGGCACGCAGATCCCGACCCGTAAAGGCATGATCGCGGCGTGAGTCCGGGGGGCATGGCCTAACCGCCTATCAGAGCCGACGGACGCTGACAGCTCGAGGCGCCCAAGCAATGCCAATCCCAACAGCTTTGGAGATGCGACCCAAATGTGTACCCCAGATTTTCAGGGACGCTTAATCTATCTTGCTGTCGTCGCCCAGTCCGGCGCCGCCCAGCCAAGGTTCTCCGCGCATCACCCGCCATTGAAGCCGAATCAACGGTTGGCTGATCAATTACCAGACAATGGACCTGTGGTATGGATCATCGGCTCAGTTTTCCACCGCCATGTTGAGCACATTTTCCAGATCTGGACAGCTCCGTGTCCGAACCAGGCCATCTCTCACGAGAAGAGTGGTATAAAGGCGAGGGGGCGGCACCTGGGAGTGACTACTTTTTCTTCACGCTCAAGTCGCTCTTCACATTTGCACAGCTCTTTGGCCATCATGAAGCAGTATCTCCAGTACCTCGCGGCGGCTTTGCCGCTGATGAGCCTCGTCTCTGCTCAGGGCGTCGGCACTAGCACATCCGAGACTCACCCTAAGATCACCTGGAAGAAGTGTTCGAGCGGCGGATCTTGCTCGACCGTCAACGCCGAGGTCGTCATCGACGCCAACTGGCGCTGGCTGCACAATGCCGACTCAAAGAACTGCTACGACGGCAACGAGTGGACTGACGCCTGCACCTCGAGCGACGACTGCACCTCCAAGTGCGTGCTTGAGGGCGCCGAGTACGGCAAGACGTACGGTGCCTCGACCAGCGGCGACTCCCTATCTCTCAAGTTCCTCACCAAGCACGAGTACGGCACCAACATTGGCTCGCGCTTCTACCTCATGAACGGCGCGTCCAAGTATCAGATGTTCACCCTCATGAACAACGAGTTCGCCTTTGACGTCGACCTCTCTACCGTCGAATGCGGTCTCAACAGCGCTCTGTACTTCGTTGCTATGGAGGAGGATGGTGGCATGGCTAGCTATTCTACCAACAAGGCCGGCGCCAAATACGGCACTGGGGTAAGTTGAATCCTCCGCACTCCGCGGTTTTCATCCACTAACTGTCGCCCTAGTACTGTGACGCCCAATGCGCCCGTGATCTCAAGTTTGTCGGCGGCAAGGCCAACTACGATGGATGGACGCCGTCCAGCAACGACGCCAATGCCGGTGTCGGCGCCCTCGGCGGTTGCTGCGCCGAGATCGATGTCTGGTAAGCATCCCAGACGACGAAAATACAGTTTCGGTGATTCTCAGCAGTCTAATCGACATTGCAGGGAGTCCAACGCGCACGCTTTTGCCTTCACGCCGCACGCGTGTGAGAACAACAACTACCACGTCTGCGAGGACACTACCTGCGGTGGTACCTACTCGGAGGACCGCTTTGCGGGCGACTGCGACGCTAACGGATGCGACTACAACCCTTACCGCGTGGGCAACACTGACTTCTATGGCAAGGGCATGACCGTGGACACCAGCAAGAAGTTCACGTGAGTCACGGGCCTAATATTCTAAAGGGCCCATGTGGAGTGCTAACAGAAATTACCTACTGTAGTGTCGTGAGCCAATTCCAGGAGAACAAGCTCACTCAATTCTTCGTCCAGAATGGCAAGAAGATTGAGATCCCCGGTCCCAAGCACGAAGGTCTCCCCACAGAGAGCAGCGACATCACTCCTGAGCTGTGCAGCGCCATGCCTGAGGTCTTTGGTGACCGCGACCGCTTTGCTGAGGTTGGCGGCTTCGATGCGCTGAACAAGGCTCTTGCCGTCCCCATGGTGCTCGTTATGTCCATCTGGGATGATGTAAGTTTCTCGACGCCTCGGATACCGGATGGCGCTCCAGCGGATTGATCACAATACTTACTTTTTTATCTTAGCACTACGCCAACATGCTTTGGCTCGACTCCAGCTACCCCCCTGAGAAGGCTGGCACCCCCGGTGGCGACCGTGGCCCCTGTGCCCAGGACTCCGGTGTCCCGTCCGAGGTTGAGTCCCAGTACCCCGATGCGTAAGTTGGGCCTTTGAACCTCCACCAAGACATTGCATTGCTAACGGTCGAATAGCACCGTCGTTTGGTCCAACATCCGCTTCGGCCCCATCGGCTCGACCGTCCAGGTTTAAAATAGGGAGCGACTGGGAGCCGTCCCCTATGTTTTGGGAACGCACATTGTGAATGAGTGAAGCTGGAATGTCTTTCGCTTCTTCGGACCGCATTTCTTGAACTTGTGTATTGTAGGGTTCTTAGCACATACATATACACGGTACAAATCATACTCTGCACTCCATGTCGCCGCCATAGATATCCAACCCGAGGTTATAGTTGTTATCCCAAGAAGAGGAGACTGTACTCGAATTTTCAAACGTAGGAGGGGCAACAGGGGCCGACCGCGAACCTTGGGACCTCAAGGGCCTACGGCGGTGGAGAGAGCCGCGGGAACGGTCATGCGCTGGACGGGGGGAACCGTTGATACGAACAGGGTAGTAGAAGAGGCTTGGAAAGCGAGGTGGTTAAAGGAACGGGACGGCAGGGCAATCACCAGGCCGGCGGACGACTTTGACCATCAGCAGGAGACGCTATTCCGGAACGAAACCCTGAGGAGGCACGACGGTCTCAGCAAGGCAAAGAGCTCACTGCTGATTCAAATCCGGACGGGAGCAATAGGCTTACGGGACTTCTTGTTTACACGGGGAGTCCCGGAGGTTCTGACTCCTGCCTGCGAGTGTGGCGAGGGACGAGAGACTGCCGAACACCTGGTAGTGTGGTGTTTGGCCCCACCGTTGACTAGAAGATGGGAGAGAACTGGAATTCGGACACGACGGGACTTTTACTCTGTTCTACACGGCATCAATCCCACGACTTCACGGCTCGCGAGGAGAGTCCTCGACTAGCTGATGGACTCGGGGAAGCTGCCGATGTACAACTTAGCCAGGAGGCTCGAGCTGGAAGCGGCGGCCTGAAGCGCCCCCGTTCGGAGGCCAGGAGGCCTCCTCTCTTTGTATACGCAGACTCACCAGAACGCATCGTTCCTTGATTGTGGGTATGGACTTTTCACCCGGCCCGGGAGGGCACGGTTTTCCTGTACACTAAATAGCAGAGGGTCCGGCACGCCCTAGGGCATAGTTAGCGGAGTATGAATAATAATATTGAGAAGAACCACTTCGCTCTTCACCTTGGCTCGGTCAAGATCTTTTGTAAATGTCAAGCTGTAATAGAGGCACCAACGCATTGGGTTTGGTGTAGAATCCGTCCTTTTTGTGAGAGTCGAAGGGCTGGCGGGCTGCATCGCGTGGGAGATACCATGCTGGGAATCCTATTCACGTCTGAGGTTGATTCTGTGGAGTCCACGACTGCACACACGGCGGCCACCCTCGATTTGTGTTGGAAAGCCAACAGCTACGAATTGACTGAACCAAGGTGATTTGGGTGCCAAAAGGTAATGAAAGAGGGGCAACCAGTTCATTGATGATGATGTCTGTGTCTCTGTGTCTCTGTCCTGTTCCCACTGCCGCGGGCCTCGCCCTGATCCTGAAAATACTAATGCCCAGCCACTAGTGAACCCCTGAATTGCCCCTCCTCACCGCCTTCTAAATCCAACAATTTGTGGCGCAAGGGTGACGCGCAAGAAACCTACGAATGTATCGACTTGGACATGTTTGAGATTGCGGGCGCGGTCTCATCGACGTATATCTCAAACCCTAGATGGAGGAGGGACGCAAAAACGGAGGCATGCTGTGGTTGGAGGGCAAACTTCGGGGACAGGCCGCGAAGGGATGATGAACTCGCTTGGGAGGTATCATCAACGCTCGGCACAAACCAAATAAGCCAAATCGGCGGCTTCGCTTGACTGGGTTTGAGACTGCCGGAGGCAGATTGCCAAATTTGAGCAGTGGATTGATTGGTTTGACTAATTTGACAAATTGGCGCCGGAGCAAGTTATTCCGGCGCCGACGACCCCCCCGACGGCCAAAAGTCCATCACAAAGAAAGCCCTCCGCTTCAAAAAGCTCACTTTCGTAGCCAATTCTGCATGCAAAGTAGCATACCAACTGTGTCGTCATGAATCGACTGCCGTTGGATCCCTATAGTCAGCTTGGCCTGACTAAAAGTCCTCTCACACTCTGAAGACGTGGCCGGAATAGTGAGTAGGTCAAAGGCCATTCGTGATAGCCGCGGGAACCGACTTTGATGCTCCTTCCACCAAGTTAATGGTGCCTCGACCATTTGAACAGGTTCCCCAAGATAAGTCTCGACCTCGTCGGTGTCGCTAGGGTCTTCAGGCGGGTCATAGTAATCGTGTCCATATAAATAAGTCGGCTGTAGGCGCATAGGTTCGGCGGCTGGCTGTTGAGAATCATTCTCGTTGCAGTATTCGTCTTGGTAGAACCGCTTGAACGTAGCAATGATATTGTCGCGCCGGTCTGAGCCGAAGTTCCGTTCCAACCACCTTGTTCTGTGCCCTGGGTGTAGAATCATGGCGGCCCAGTAGGCTGGCGACTGCTCCATCGCGACTACGTACTTATCCAGTTTAGCGATAGCAAGGTCGAGGCTCACTTGCAAAAAATTAAGCCCGTCGATGGCGAGGTCCTGCTCTACCGCTAGCTGTGGATCGGGTTGAGGCTCTGGCTGAGGTGGCGCTTCTAAGGGTCTGAGAACCCGATTTCTTTGTCCTGGGAGGTCGACCGCGAAGTCTGCAAGTCTGCGCGGTAGGCCGGCGGTGCGTTGCGGTCTCGTTGACGTCGTTAGCGGTGCGACAAGGTCCGGGTCTTGTGAAAGTGGTGGTGGTGTTGGCGGTCATAGAAGAGGAATATCTGGCCCATTGAATACCGCGAATTCGAGGGCGTTGCTGTAAGCCGTGTGTTGGTGGCGGAGGTCCTGAATTAGGCGGTGAATCGTAGGAATAACCTCGGCGAAGAGAGGCTCCCTCCCCTCGAACCTTTTGGTGATAGATTTGAACGGCTCAAGGATAGATTTTATCGCCACCAACGCCGCCCAGTCCTCTTGATCCAACAGATCTTCGGCAGGGAGCTTTTTCTGGGGATCTTTTTCCACCCTGTGCCATCGATGACAGAAAATTTCTATCGGGACCCTCAACAAAAGCGCTCTTTCAATCATGAAGAACACGGAATTCCATCGAGTATCGTTATCCGGCCGTAATTGCAAGGAAGATAGATCACCGTCGAACAGAATGCGCCCAAACTCTTCTACTTCTTCGGCTGTGAGTTTCCCTGGCATGACCTCCGCAAAACTATCACGCCGCTGAGGACTCCGCCTTACGAAGTGCACTATGTTGTGCAGCTTTCCAATAGGGCCTCGTTTACGCCATTGCTCGAGCAGATCTCTCTCTTCCTCGGCTTCAAGTCGGGCCTGAGAACCTGGCTCAAACGACCTCAAAAGGCCAGGGTTCTTGCCCTCGAGCAAGGCCTTCGCGGCAAGATTCAAGATGTGGCCAAAGCAGCGAACACGGCGGCGTTGCTTGAGGGCTGAGACCCTCCCGGCAGGAAGGTCAGGGTGGATTCTTCGAAGCACAGCCGCCACACACTTGTCGTTGGATTCCACGTTATCTGACTGAAGATAACCAAGGCACTCAGTTAAGCCAAATTCCTCCGCAACCTCTGTAATCGCTGGGGCAAGATTTTCACCGCCGTTATGCCCCCTGATTCGCCGCAGGCCAAGCAAACGTGTTTGAAGCGATCCAGAGATGTCGAGGTAGTGCGCGACAATCCCCAGCAGAGCATACGAGTTTGGTGAGGTCCAAAGATCGAAGGAGATGTGCTTCATCTGAGGCGGGGCTAAAGATATCTCTCTCTTCACCACAGCGGCCTGCTCGAGGTACTTTTCCACCAGCAACCTCTTCACACTTGTGCCGCTCTCTGGCAACAACACCCGCGTTTTCTCAGGGTCCAATGCCGTTGAGATGTTGCGGAACTCGGGGCTCTCCACGACCGTAAATGGTAGGTTCGAAGAGATGATCCATTGTAGAAGTAAGGACTTGATGGTCTCAGACTCGCTCTGCAGGATCGGTGCTCGAAGGGCCCCGCGCCGAACCGCTTCTTGGCGGAACATCTCGTCCACAGGCACCGTCCTCGCTGTCTTGCGCGGCGGCTCCTCTGAATCCTCGTATATGGCGTGGCTCTTGTTGAGATGCGTGGTAGGCCCAGTTGTTGCATTGGCGGAAAACAGCTGACTACATGATCCACAGGACCAGAAAGTACCGTCCGCTTTGTTGCCAACCAACTCAACAAGATATGTGCCGTGGCCGGTGATCCAGGAAGTTCGCTGCCTCCGGCGGTGTAACCACTTCTCCAAAATGTATTGCTTTCCGTGGTGTTCAATTGCTGGCAAGTTGGCAACGTCTAATTTTTCTTGTGGGATGGCAGACACATCTCGGACCTGATCGGCGATGCTGCGAGCCCGACGGAGCCTCGAAAACGCACTATGTCCGGCGGTAGAATCGGTCGTGATAAGGGTGGAAGCATCGCTCGTCACGGAGGCTATGTCGCCTGGTTTGGGAGTTGGAGGAGGCATAGATGCAGCGGCTCATGCGTGGATATGTTCACAAGCACTGGCACAGGGGATCCACTTGATTGAGAGTGGAATCTTGGAGGCCGGAGCTGGAACATCCCGGCGCCGAAAGCTGGCCTGGGTGTCCAGGATGTGGGGTTTTCGCGCCTAAGATTTAAATACGCGAGCCAAACCGTAAACCAATCCGAGCCTGTGATTTGGTTTGAGATTTTCCACGTTTGTTGGTTTGATTAGCTTATTTGATTTGATAGTTTGTTTGGCTAATTTGGTTTGTGCCGAGCGTTGGGTATCATTACGATAAGCCTTTTAACGGGCGGCCATAAATCTAAGTTGGCGTTAGAAGAAAAAGAAAAACAGATACAAAGCCCAACACACCGGAATGTATGTACATGCACTTGCTAAAAGCACATCCAGGCTTTCGCGTCATCGGCGTCTTTCCGGAACTTCACATAGGGGAAGAACGTCGGAGCCGCCATCGCATATTACCGCCTGACAAAAGTGGCGTTGTGTCACCCTTGAACCCTGCTGGCATGCGCGTCGCATCAGTCAGCGGAGGGTATTATGATCAGTCAGCGGGTGGCATCAGTATCAGTCAGCGGAACTCAAGGTATCAACTGCTGTTATTCACTCGCCGGCTGCCTCCGTGGCCTCGAAACCCGGCCATTGGGACAGGTTGGCCTTCATTTTGTTTCTGCTTTTTACTAACATCCTTTGAGGTCTGGGCAACCTTATTCTCTCGCCAATTTTTCTATCAAAAACCCCGACTCCCGAGTCCCGAAGATGACACTCGAACGCATGAAGAAGGCGGCCCTCTTCACCCGGCTGATCGCCTATGGCTTCCGTATTTATTTTTCAGTGTTGAGTCGTGCCTTATCGGGGAAAATTGCTGCACTCACTGCACCAACAGCGATTCCGCCTTCCAACCCCTCCGAAGTCAAGAATGTGGTCGTCGTTGGCGCCGCCTTCGCCGGCTACATTGCCGCTCATGTTCTTGCCGCATCGCTACCACGAGATGGCCGGTACCGACTCATTATCATCGAACCACACAGCCACTTCAATTTCACATGGGTGCTGCCACGCTTCTCCGTGGTTGGCGGTCACGAGCACAAGGCATTCATCCCTTATACCCCCGACTTTTTTGCCCGGAGCCCGAAAGGCATGGTTCAGTGGGTGAGGGACCGAGTAACGTGCGTACAGAAGCATAACGTCGTCCTTCGCAGCGGCGACGAGATCCCGTACGAGTTTCTCATCATTGCAACGGGGTCGACGGTGCCGCACGGGCTACCCTCCCGCGTGGACACGGAGGACCGGGAAGCTGGAATCGAGATTCTCAGGGCGATGCAGGCTCGCATCAAGGCAGCGACTCGACTCGTCGTCGCAGGTGGAGGTGCCGCCGGCGTCGAGCTGGCCACCGATGCCAAGAACCAATACCCGGATAAATCAGTCACTCTAGTACACTCGCGCCAGGCGGTGATGCATCGTTTCGGCCCAGAGCTTCAGGAGAGCGCTCTGAATGGCTTGCGGACACTAGGAGTCGATGTAATCCTAGGCGAGAGAGTCGATCCACAGAGCGCCGACGGCAAGTTTATTACGCTTGCGTCTGGGCGTAAAGTCGAATGTGACTGTTTTGTAAGTGCCCCTATACTTTGTACTTGTGTCTGTCCCCACGGTTGTACGTCTGGTCGCGTACCTACATGCAGGCTTGCTGACACAATAATGAAAAAGATCAATTGTACGGGTCAAAAACCGGCATCTGGGTTAATCGCAGATCTCGCGCCCAAAGCTCTCACCCCGTCTGGCCACATCCGAGTAAAACCGACCCTACAAATTGACGATGAATCTCTTCCCAACGTTTTCGTATGCGGCGATGTTGCGGAAACCAAGGCCGCCAACACGAACTCACGGATTGCAGGGCAACAAGCCGAGATCGCAGCAGACAACGTGGTTCTGGCGGCCTTGGGGAAGAAGCCGAGTTATACATATGAGCCGGGATGGGCTGACCAAGTCATTAAGCTAACCCTTGGGATGGTGAGTACGGCCTGGTAAATGTCTCAATCTTCTGATTCTAACCGCGTAATCAGGACCGCTCCATTACTCACTTTGGGGATGGAAACTCGGAGTTGCTCTTCACCCACCGGGAGACGGATCCAGCCTTGATGTGCGCTGGGGCTTGGCGGTCTCTGGGAGCAAAACCATTTGACGATCCAGGCGTATCCGGCAACTAACAACCTAGGGATGGTCCCCCATTTTGGTGGTATCCAGGAGATCCCACGGTGATATCCCGCCGAGCGAGACGCCCGCACGAAGGACGGGCTGCCAAGCTCCATGACTTTCACTCTTCGTCTTAAAGCGTCTATGTGCTGCCTGCTTGATGCATGTGTCTTTCCAGTTGAACCTGGCACAGTGCGATACATGTGCGGAAGGTGGGGAACAGTTGTTATATTCAGTTCGCAGTCAACGCGATGCTGTGCGTGGACGGGTAATATAAGGCAAGGAAGCTACATGGGGAGAAAGAACAGCCCTTACTTTCTTGCTGACGGCGGTTAGAGAGGGCGGAAATGTAACAGTACCATATATAAGTATCTTTGGTCGGTAGTTATCAGAGGGTAATCTCCATTCCACACTTCAATAATGGATCATGGATATCCATGATGTGTATGTCCGGCCCAATACAGGGTTATGCACCATCCCCCTCGTCGCCATTTTGCCTTGTATTTGCAACGTTGCTAGCTGGTTGAGTTAACCCACAAATCTCTGGAGCTCTCCAAGGAAAGTAAGGAGACCCAGGGAGGCGTCCAAGCACTACGGGGATAAAGATATAGGCAGCGGTTCAAGAAAGAAGGAAATATTCAGACGGGTTTCTTGGCTAAAGAGCGAGAAGTGGAAGGTCTGAAATGTTACTTCTAATACTTCGGGGGGCATAGAGACAGAGGTTGCGGCCGGAAACGACGCCGGACGCACAGGTGTAATTGGCATTGGCCAGATATCATTCCCCCTCTCCTGCTCTGTCACTTCACCCCCCCTCCCCTCCTCTCGCCTCCTCTCTCCTCAAGTTTTTTCCCATTCCCCTGTGCTGCCCCCCTCTCCCGCCCTTGACTTCCTCATTGTGCCAATAATATCAACTCCACTAATCGAGGTGAGTCGTGTTGAATAGCCGATTGCCAGTATCGGTGCCGCCTCTGCCTTGGAACCGATTGTTCGATAGGCGCAATGCAATCACGCTCAAGGCTTTATCAGTTTCGAGAACCCGGCCCAGTAGCCCTGCAACGTCAAGGGATTGTGTCTGGATGACCCCGGCAACCACAACAATGGAAATGGTCGCATCGAAGCTGCGGATTCGCTGAGCGAAGTCCACGATTGACTTCCCGCTGTTCACCACCGAATCCACCAACACAACTGTACACTGCCCCTTGATGTGCCCAGGCCTTAACTCGTCCGGCTGCTTTGCGTGGAGAAACATGGCGCCGGGGAGCGCGTCATTCACTCCAACGGCCATGGGCTCGCCGCCACGCATCAGCGCTACTATCGTCGTCCTGTTCTCGTGCCGGACCCGATACCCCTCTGTACTGCGGCTTTGCACGTGCGGGATATCGTACTGTTCTAGGCCCACAATATCCGCCAGAAACAGCGTTGCCAGGTACCATCCGACGCGCCTATGGGCCTTCCTTAAATCGGGCCCAAACACCCGCGCGTCTCGGGTTGGTGTCATTAGGAGCTTGGTTGCGTTCTGGTCCGTCGCGTGACGGAGGCGGTCCTTGGCGCCACGTTTGCGAACCAGCGCTTCACGGAACTCCCCATCTGCAAGTTGCACCGACGGAAGCCTGGTTGCATCCAGCCGCGGTGGCGCATCTTTCGGTAACAGCACCTGGCTGGCCCGGAGGCCACGCTCGTCGATAGCATTCAATAGGAGCTTATCCATTGACTTGCTCCGATAACTCACGTCTCCCACCACAACGAGGGCCTGGTGGGCTTCATGCATCATTGGAAGGTCCAGAGGGCTGTCTCCAATGACCCAGGTATACAAACCATGGACATCGCGCATCCGGGCAACCAACGCTCCTTTAACCTCGGCTGTCATGACAAATCCATCCGACATTCGGCCACCGCCGACTACCTGGACAGTCTCCGACAGTCCCGCCTTAGCCAGCACCATCTCCCAAACGAGGCGCAGTCCGCATGTCACCACCACTGCCGCAATGTGGTGATGCTCCCTCACATACCTCAGGATAGACAGCATCCCTGGGTACAATGTAACCGACGACGCGACTCTCTCGCAAATAGCGTTGAACTCATCCTGGGGGGCCTGCTCCTCGTACAAAAGCATTGCCTGGCGGAAGGCTGTGTACGAGTACCCAAGCGGGCTGCTGAACAAACTGCTCAGAGAGCAGTCGTCCGCGGTCGAGTGGGCCTGATGTGAAGCGGATTTGACGGCAGCCCCCCAGAACAAGAGTCCAGTGTCATTTGCCGCCAAAGTCTTGTCGGCATCCAAAACCAGTGCGGTCTGCAATTCTGCATGCTGCCGACGCTGACTATCGATGAGCTGATCGAGGCGATCCTTGGCACAGGAGAGGTTGTGCTCTTCAGTATGCTGCCGAAAGTCTTGCAGCATGGCCATAACCGCATCCATGTCCTCGGCTGGGTAGGCCACTGATGTAAACAGGATTCCGTGGCTGCGGCAGAGACGGCGCAACTCCATCTTCTCCGCCTCTTGCCAAGTGCGCAGGTGCTGAACAGAGGCGGGCTGCCGTGCCCTTGAGTCGTCCTTGAGGCGCCATGTTCCCACGGTCTCTGGGAGGGTGTTGAGATATATGATGTGCGTGTAGGTATCCAAGTCGCTCTGTGTGTGGACCGTGTGCCCGACCTTGTCTCCTTCCGGCCAAAACATAAAGTGGCCGGCGATAACCGCAGCCCGTCCACTTCCCGCACTTTCTCTGCCGATTGCCTCAATGGCAGCCTGGCGCCATCGCGTTTTCTCGTCTTCAGTGGCCCGCTGAAACTCGGCAAGGCCTCCAGGGACGAGTGAGGCGATCACCGCAGATCCGTCAAAGAAGACGAACTGTTTGTCGGCCAGTTTGCATTTCAGATTCTGCAACAAGGTCGATTTCCCAGATCCAGGGACGCCATACAGCCCGATGACAATGGGTTTTGTCTGAGACATGATATGGTAATGGGCTGAAGTAAGTTAAGTTATGGAAGTAAATTTGGGCGAGAGTTGTTCAACAACAACGACATCTCCCTAACACCGCCCCGGTCATCCTTTTATACCGCTCTCTTTGCCAGCCCGACTGCTAGTGCCCCAGGCGCCCCCCTTTCCGCAATGTTGCCGCTCGACAAACGAAATGCTGCTAAAGACATTGTAGGCCTCGGTGCTTCCGGAACAGCACACCAACAAGCGGGCTGCCGCTTCGGGGGTAACACAATGCCGGGCAACGGCCCAAGTAGTCTGTCTGCCGATGAGTGAATCGATCAATCTCTAGCCTCGTCTCGATGGCAGTGAAAGCGGGGAGCGGCGTTGCGTCGGCGACAAGTCGACGCCGATGTTACCGGCCGCCATTGCACTATGCCATGTGCTGGGCGCCCAACAGGTCAGGTAGTTACACATGGATGATCGGCACTCGTTGAGAGGCTCACACGGGATTCAACTCAACCGACTCCACACGCGGCTCGCTGGAAGGTGTCTGGTCATACCCAGTCTTGTCAGGGGTGGGTGGCCAGCGTGCTATCATTGGGAGTATCTATCTAGGTATGCAGCCGCCCACAGAATAAATGGCGGCGCCCAACATTGTTGGCAAACAACGTCAACGGGCACATACGGAAGCTGCCGGCGCATGGCTCAACCAACAAAAGGGCTCAAGCCAAGTACTTCCTTACCTACATGTACCTAATTAGGTTAATCAGGCGGTCCACGTTTTAAGATAGTCACATGTTACACGGCATGCTGTAGGCTTTCTCCTTGGTGAACCTCACGGAGCTGAATAGCGAGGGCGGTTGCGCGAGGTGTATCATCTCGTGGTTCTTTTTTGCCTTCTTTTTTTCCCGAGTTTATCCGTATTCGCAGTTGGGCAATGTTTCGAGGAGCGTACTCCGCGGGATTTGGTGTGATCCACAGCGCGCGAGCCAAACGTTACCTTCCAGGGTGTGATGCCAAGGAGCCATGGGGTGAGAATGACCAAACACGGGTTGAAGGACGACAAAATTCATTTTATCCCCCCACACTGAATGCAAGTCAGCGCGTGGCGTTGCAGCCGGAAATGGCCGTGCACTGATGACGCAGGCAAGCAGGAAATCGCACGTGCTATCATTTTTTCATGAGACAAACTCGCAAGAGGAAGAAGCGATGGCAATTCATGTCTTTGACTGGAGACTGGAGGTTTTCGGCTCGAATCCCGATTTCTTAAGAGCAATAAAACAGAGGAATATTTCAGTGCGGGCGGGCTTTCGTCCAAGTGTTCAACACCAACCCTCAGCACATGTTCCCTCCTTCCAAGACAGCTCCCACATGGCTGGACCCCGGCCTCCAAATCAACCCCACAGCGAGTGCGCGAATCAAATCCTTCACCCCTGCTACCAGGAATCTGTTATCAGTACGTAATTGGTAAAGAGTGGAGGAGCAACTTCTCTTACCTCGGGGGAATTTCTGCAACTGAAACGAAACCGAGGAGTTGTTCTCCAAAATACATTAAAAAAAAAACAAGAAAAAAGGAAAAAGGAAGAAAGAGATCCAGGCAATAACGACACCCATCACAACTCCGCGCACCGTTTATCCCGCTATGAGCGCCCACACCGAACCCATCCCGCCCAGCGCAACCGAGCCGCACGGGTCCGGGCACGAGTCGTCGGACGATGGCGATGCGATGCTCGCAGCCATGGGCTACAAGGCCGAGCTGGTACGCACACGATCGACCTGGCACGTCGCATTCATGTCGTTCGTGCTTGCGTCCATTCCCTACGGCCTAGCCACCACATTATACTATCCACTACAGGGAGGCGGGCCAGTCGTCGTCGTCTGGGGTTGGCTGATCGTCAGTCTTATCATCCTCTGCATCGCCGCCTCGTTGGGCGAGATCACGTCCGTCTACCCAACCGCCGGCGGCGTCTACTACCAGACCTTCATGCTTGCGCCGGCCAACTTCAGAAGGATTGCCGCCTACATCTGCGGCTGGGCCTATGTCGTTGGCAACATTACCATCACCCTGGCCGTGCAGTTCGGCACCACGCTCTTCTTCGTCGCCTGCGTCAATGTCTTCGAGAAGGAGCCGGGCGTAGGCATCTGGGAGGCACAGAC